TGTGATATATAGTAAAACCTTTGAGAACTGTGTTTCCAAACTTTTTTTTTTTTTTTTTTTTTGAGACAGAGTCTTGCTCTGTTGCCCAGGCTGGAGTGCACTGGCACAGTCTCCACCTCCCAGGTTTAAGGTTGTGCCTCAGCCTCCCGAGTAGCTGGGACTACAGTTGTGGGCCCCCACACCCAGCTAATTTTTGTATTTTTGGTACAGATGGGGTTTTGCCATGTTGCCCAGGCTAGTCTCAAACTCTTGGCCTCAAGTGATCTGCCCCCTGTGGCTTTCCAAAGTGCTGTGATTACAAGTGTGAGCCACCGCGCCTGGCCTCTAAACTCATTTTTTAGAGACAGGTAACATTTCTAAGAAAATTCTTGGGACCAATGCAGTTAGCAGCTTCTTATTTGCCAGGTTAAGGTCTGCATATGAAAATATCTAATACTTTAATTTTAAAGATACATTTTTAAGCTGAAGGAAGGACATAATCTCAGAATAAAAGACAATCTTTTAAAAAATTTAAAAGTTTTAAAATTTTTAGTAGACACAGGTTCTTGCTGTATTGCCCAGGCTGGTCTCAAGTTTGTGGGCCCAAGTGATACTCCTGCTTCAGCTTCCCAAAGTGCTGGGATTGTGGGTTTGAGCCACCATACCTGGCCTCAAGGACAATCTTTTAATTATTAAAAAAAAAAAAAAATCTTTTGTATGTAGAGGCAGGGTCTTGCTGTCTTGCCTAGGCTGGTCTTGAACTCCTGTGCTCAAGGAGCTCTCCTGCCTTGGCATCCCAAAGTGGGTAGGATTATAGACATGAGCCACTGTGCCTGACTCAGTCTTTAATACTTGATTTTATGAAATAGCACTATATTTCCTCCCTCCCCCCATTTTTGTCTTAGACCAATAACAGATAATAGTTTCCCATTAACATTTGTGAATTACTGCTTTAGAGGATTGTCTTATATGCTGCATCAGTGGTTATAAACAGATTTGATTGGTTGGCAACTGAATATTTTGAAAGTTACAGAATATTCATATTGAACAATTCAGAAGTCTGCTCTGCAGAGAAATGTGTGGTTTTCTTCCTTTCTCAAGTATAAAACTGATTCTAAAAGATATAGAGAAATTTTGAAAACTAGTAGAAAGTTCCTGATAACCTAAACATTAAAAAAGGGGAAGGGTGTAGTATAGTTTGTCAGTCATAAGTTTTTTTTTTTTTTAGACAGATTCTCACTTTGTTGCTCAGACTGGAGTGCAGCAGCATGATCTGGGCTCATTGCAACCTCTGCTTCCCGGTTTCAAGCAATTCTTCTGCCTCAGCCTCCTGAGTAGCTGGGATTATAGGCTTGCACCGCCACACCTGGCTAATATTTTTTGTGTTTTCAGTAGAGATGGGGTTTCACCATGTTGGCCAGGGTAGTCTTGATCTCCTGACCTCAGGTGATCCACCCACCTCATCTTCCCAAAGTGCTGGGATTACAGGCATGAGCCACTGCCCCTGGCCTCAGTTTTTAATATCTATTAAGTTTATATTTCTGATAAGTTTTCAATGTCTTTCCATTCAGTTGGTTTTGAAATAGGTTTTGGGCTGGGTGTGGTAACTTATGCCTATACACTTTGGGAGGCTGAGGCAGGCGGATCACCTGAGGTCAGGAGTTTGAGACCAGCCTGGCCAACGTGGTGAAATCGCATCTCTACTAAAAATACAAAAATTAGCTGGGTGTGGTGGCAGACACCAGTAATTCCAGCTACTTGGGAGGCTGAGGCCGGAGTATCACTTGAACCTGAAAGGTAGAGGTGGCAGTGAGCTGAGATTGCACCATTGCACTTCAGCCTGGGTAACAAGAGTAAAACACTGTCTCAAAAAAAAAAAAATAAAGTAAAACAAAATAGTTTAAAAAATATTGTTTTTAAACAATATTTTTGTTTAAAAAATAATTGAAGATGGCCGGGCGTGGTGGCTCAAGCCCGTAATCCCAGCACTGTGGGAGGTCAAGGCGGGCGGATCACAAGGTCAAGAGATAGAGACCATCCTGGCCAACATGGTGAAACCCCCGTCTCTACTAAAAATACAAAAAATTAGCTGGGCGTGGTGCCGCGTGCCTGTAATCCCAGCTACTCAGGAGGCTGAGGCAGGAGAATTGCCTGAAACCGGGAGGCGGAGGTTGCGGTGAGCCGAGATCGCGCCATTGCACTCCAGCCTGGGTAACAAGAGCGAAACTCCGTCTCAAAAAAAAAAAAAAAAAAAAAAAAAAAGAAGATAATTGAATCCTTCACATTGTTCAAATTTATTTATCGAAATGCAGGTCTGAAATGTTCCAAAATTAGAAACTTTTTGAGTGCCAATATGATGCTCAAAGGAAATACTCATTGAAGCATTTTGGATTTTGGATTTAAGATATGTAATGTTCAGCTAGTAACTATAATTCAGAGATTCCAAAATCTAAAATAAATCTGAAATCTGAAAGAGTTCTGGCTTCAAGCCTTTTGGATATGGGATACTCAACTCATACTATAATTGGTAATTTCAAAAAATTTAAAAGTTTGGTTCAAATGAAGTAAAAAGCTATATATGTCTGCAGTGTGTAATAGAAAACTTGAGCTGTCTTGAAAAGTTTAACAAGTTGGGAAGGTTTAAATTATGGATATTTTATTATCACTAAAATTAATATTTAAATTCACAGCACAGAAAATGTAGATGAAAAATGCATATCAAATGATATTTAGCTGTAAAAATTATGTCATAAGAACCCAAAGTAAACACAGAAAAACGAAATCTGGATTTTTGAAGGTAGAAATTGGTATCTGCTCAATGTTAAGTACTGGGTATACAGATAAATAAGGCTTGGTCATCTCCTAAGAATCTAAAAATCTAATAGTGGGAAAGAAATATGTTTAAAAAATAACCCCACAAAATGAAAACCCAGTACAGTATATTTTGCTATTATAGATCTAAAAAAAAAAAAAAAAAAAAAACAAAAAAAACCTGGGTAACAAAGGAACTAATTCTGTCAGAAATAAAGCATTTATTTAGACTGCAGTTGTTACTTGTTTTGGAAGAAAACAAGTGGATGTTAAAAGAAGAAAAATAATTACCATGGCCGGGCGCGGTGGCTCATGCCTATAATCCCAGCACTTTGGGAGGCTGAGGTGGGTGGATCACGAGGTAAAGAGATCAAGACCATCCTGGTCAACATGGTGAAACCCTGTCTCTACTAAAAATACAAGAATTAGCTGGGACTACAGGC